CAGAGCCGAGCCAGAGCCGGCAGGGCCGAACAGAAACCGGAGCGCGGCCAGGGAGGCCCCTGTGCTCCTGGCGCCTGCTCAGGTAAAGGGAAAGCAGAGCAAGGGAGCGCACGGTGCCCGCTGGCAGCATCGAGGCTTCCTTGTAGGACCTGGCCTGCAAAGTGGGACCCCGGGCTGTAACCACCTGGAGGCTTTTTAAAAGGCACCAATAAAGCCAGCCTATAAGCGTTTGCTTAAACAGGGGTTGTAATTATCACAGAATCACAGAATGGTTTGGGTGGGAAGGGACCCCTAGAGGTCACCCAGCCCAACCCCCCTGCAGGAGCAGGGACACCTTGAACCACATCAGGTTGCTCACAGCCCCGGCCAACCTGGCCTGGAATGTTCCCAGGGATGGGGCCTCCACCCCCTCTCGGGGCAACCCCTGCCAGGGTTTCACCACCCTCACTGCAAAGAATTTCTTCCTTAGATCCAGTCTAACCCTCCCCTGCTTCAGTTTAAAGCCATCCCCCCTTGTCCTGTCCCAGCTGGCCCTACTAAAAAGCTTGTCCCCCCCTTTCCTCTGGGCCCCCTTGAAGCCCTGACCGGCCGCACTCAGCTCTGCCCGCAGCCTTCTCTTCTCCAGGCTGAACACCCCCACCTCTCCCAGCCTGGCCTCAGAGCAGAGGGGCTCCAGCCCTTGGAGCATTTTAGTAGCCCTAATTAGAGCTCTGAAAACGTAGGCAAGCTATTGTCTCTGTCTTGGCTGAGAGGTGAAGTGGTAGAGTTTCATATTCAGAGTGGGAAAGGAGGGAAGGCACTTGCTTAATACAGGTACCAGCAACAGCTGTACCCAGCAGCCTGGGTCTCCCAGCTAACCAGGCACAGCTGCTGGAATCAGGAGTGCCTGACATGTAAATTAGTCTGAGTAGGTAGGCTTAGAAATTCAGTTTCAGGTAAGAAATCACCTCAGTGTTTACAGTAACTGACCAAATGCCTAATTAATAAAGAGCAGATACATTAAAAAAAAAAAAGTGGTTATGCTGGATGTTTTGGGGTTCTATTTGGTATTTTGCAACTCTTTTTTGGTAATTAAAGTCTTCGGGCTTCTTACAGGAAATGCATGCGCTAATTAGTGGCCCCGAGTATATAGCAGACAGTGATCCTGTGCTTGCTGCTACCCAAAATGTCTAGGAATTCATATGCGGAGGAGAAAAACCCAGGTACACGGTTGTCGGTGTTGAGAATCAAAGGTAGGTGTGTCTCTGGGGAGCGGGGTCATGAGCTTTAAAGAAAAGAGTTCAGTGAAGAAGCATGGCTTGGGAGAGTAGGTTATGTGGCCTTGAAGCCTCTTGGTGAGGGTTTCACGTGCTGCTGAGCTGCTCCCCCAGTTAAAGAAGAGAAAGGGTATCTGCTTCAGAGATTAAAATCTGCTTTATGGGTGAATAAGCTGGGCAAGTACGGCCTGTTACACAGCGGTGCACGGACACTCAGAGTGTTTCAGAAGGTGTTCAGTCACAGGAAGGATCTCGGCAAGCTGGGCTAGCTGTTCTGTTTGCCGCTGGCCTTGGCCCCCTGCACCGTGCCTTCTGCAGCAGTTTGTGGAGCCGGGCTCTCTGAGGGAAGTAACGCAGCTGGTAACCCCGTTGGTGGGGAGGGCGATGGGGAGAATGAAAGCGTGAAAAAATCAAAACAGGAATGGCAAGAAAAGGCTATTTTTACATTAGTTATTACATGTCTGATTGTGGTTTGTGTATAACTGACCAACTGTACAGCTGGCATGGTCTCAGCCTGGCTAGCACAGCACCGGTAAGGCAAGAGTAGCAGAGCAATCTGATTAATATGCTACAATGCTATCAGTTTCTAATGGTGTGTATTGCTCTGCAATGGTTCATCTCCTCTTAAAAAGCAAAAGAAAGCGTTCAACCCACAAGTTATTCCTTATCTCTAATGATATCTTGGTGCTACCATAGTTTCTTAAACGCTTACCAGATCAGCTTTTGCCTAAGTAATCAAAAGCAAATAAAATTTGTTCTGGTCCAGTTATGTGCAGAGCCATCAATACTTTTTCTTCCTTTCAGGAAAAAAAACCCTAGAATCCACAGAAAGCTGAATGAGCAGTAGTTCATTCTTTCTCGTTAAAGACAGGATTGTGAGGTTTGGGGCTGTAGTTTAGATAGCTGTAGGTGCCCATACTTGTTATAAACTTTGTTAACAGGGCAAAGCAAGTCCTCTCTCATACGTGCTACCAGATGCCAGTGGAGCTTCCTAAATAGCATTTCTTGTATAATTTTTAAGCCTGTTAGCTGATTCCTTGTTCCATGATGGAGAGAAGGGGTTGGTTGTATAGAAAGAATAATCTGTACTAAGTACAGAAAGGTGCTAAGGTAAAAAGAATGAGTGGAATAGCTTGATTTCTTGTTGGGTAGTGTGAGTTCAGGTACTGTGTGTAGCTGGAACAGCAGCGGTGTACATAGGAGAGACTATTCTGTGGGAAAGCAGGTACATCTGGAGGCAAAAAGTGCAAGTTCTTTAGCTCAAGGCCGCACCTCCAAGTGACAGCTACTCGATAGCTTTGTCAGGTCTCTGTGCTGCGGGCTTAAAAGGAATCATATATATTTTGCCAATTAGAATGCATCTACTTCAATCCTGGCAATTACAAGAAAGGACCTGAAAACTGGCATCCTGACTCAACAGTCAGTTCTCTTTAGGCAGGCTGCTGATGCCAGTGAAAGTCTCCCAGGGAAAAAAAAAGGGATTCATCACAGGACAGACTGTGATCACATTACGAAGGGATTTTAAAGATATTTTTTTCAGACTTTCTGTTTAGTTCCCAGTGGAGGTGCGACCCACGCTGCTGAACTTAAGGCACTGCTTAGAGCCACGTGAACTTAGGTAGAGTGTAGAACCCATAGACCTGCCTCTGTTAGTCGCTTGCTGCAGGCCCCTGAGAGCGGATTCACCAACAGCC